CCAAGTGTTGTTATTTTGTAGCCGATCCATCATCCAAGATGGCCGCCAGCGAGGGACTTAGTTTAACATAGGACCCTATGGGAAATACATAAAATGTCTTCTTTTAGAGAACCACTGAATGGAATGAAACCAAACATGGCATGAATGTTCCTTATGAGGTGCTGACCAAGTGTTGTTACTTTGCAGTCGGTCCATCATCCAAGATGGCCGACAGCAGGGGACTTAGTTAAACATAGGACCCTAAGGGAAATACATACAAATGTCTTCTTTTAGAGAACCACTGAATGGAATGAAACAAAACATGGCATGAATGTTCCTTATGAGGTGCTGACCAAGTGTTGTTACTTTGCAGTCGGTCCATCATCCAAGATGGCTGACAGCAGGGGACTTAGTTAAACATAGGACCCTATGGGAAATACATACAAATGTCTTCTTTTAGAGAACCACTGAATGGAATGAAACAAAACATGGCATGAATGTTCCTTATAAGGTGCTGACCAAGTGTTGTAACTTTGCAGTCGGTCCATCATCCAAGATGGCCGCCAGCGGGGGACTTAGTTTAACATAGAACCCTATGGGAAATACATACAAATGTCTTCTCTTAGAGAACCAGCAAATGGATTGAAACCAAACATGGCATGAATGTTCCTTATAAGGTGCTGACCAAGTGTTGTTACTTGCATCCGATCCATCATCCAAGATGGCGGCCAGTGGGTGACTTAGTTTAACATAGGACCCTACGGGAAATACATACAAAATGTCTTCTTTTAGAAAACCACTGAATGGAATGGAACCAAACATGGCATGAATGTTCCTTACGAGGTGTTGACTAAGTGTTGTTTCTTTGCAGCCGATCCATCATCCAAGATGGCCGCCAGCGGGGGACTTAGTTTAACATAGGACCCTATGGGAAATACATACAAATGTCTTCTTTTAGAGAACCACTGAATGGAATGAAACCAAACATGGCATGAATGTTCCTTATGAGGTGCTGACCAAGTGTTGTTACTTTGCAGTAATTCCAACCTGTTCCGACTATTTGTTGTGTATCGTCCCCCGCCATCCCGAAACAATAAACTGAAAACAACCACTTTTTTCGAAGAATGGTTAGAATTCCTAGACTATACTACGGAATTTTCAGGTGAAATCATCATCGTAGGTGATCTTAATTTCCATCTTGATGACGTTAGCGATTGCGGTGGGCGAAGGTTCACTGAGTCACTTAGCGATCGTGGACTAGTACAACAAGTTGATGGACCCACACATATCCGTGGACACACGCTCGATGTTATCATAAGTAGAGAAAACAGTTCAATCTTGTTGAGTGAACCGTCAATCGAAAACACACAAATATACAACGATAAAAGCAATGCGTCCTTAGATCATTTTGCTGTTCATAGCCGAATCAATCTTAGCAAACCAGCAAGACTGAAAAAATCATTGACAATCCGAAAGATAATCAATATCAACGTTGACAGTTTTAAGGCTGACATCGACAAGAATTGTTTCATTCACAACAATGATCCTGACATTGAGAATTTGGTTAAATCGCATAATTCCGATCTCAAGGCAGTTTTAGACAAACATGCACCGGTTCAAACAAAAATCATAACGATGCGACCGAACACGGAATGGTATGGCGACAAAATCCGCAAAGCAAAGGTCGAGCGTCGGAAAGCTGAGAGAACTATGTGGAAAACAAACCTCGAGGTTCACAAGTTGATATACAAAGAATTATGTGTCACATCAAATAAAATACTGATACAAAGTAAAACTGATTACTATTCAAACAAAATTTCGGATATTGGAAATGATCACAAAAAACTTTTCAAATTAACCAATGGACTTTTGGGAAATAGTAATGACGTCATCCTTCCATCACATCAAAGCGAGTTTGAACTGTCAAATCGTTTCGGACATTTTTTTCTTGAGAAAATCGAAAACATCAGGACAAGTTTACTTTCGGCGAATAATTCTATCGACGATATTGACCCTCTACGAGCAGATATACGTTTTGAAGGCAACACTCTCACCGACTTCCACCCTGCGTCAATTGATGAAGTGTCGAAAATAATTCTAAAAGCGTCAAGTAAATCTTGTGAACTCGACCCAATCCCGACTAAGCTTTTGAAAACTTGTGTAAACAGCATTGCCAGCAATATTACGATGATCATAAACAAGTCATTATCAACTTCCACTGTACCAGTATCGTATAAAGAGGCTATTGTGCGACCTCTGTTGAAGAAACCCGGTTTAGATAAAGACACACTGAAAAACTATCGCCCGGTTTCGAACCTTCCTTTCGATTCTAAAGTTCTCGAAAAAGTTATTGAAAGTCGTCTAGAAGAGCATCTATTGTCAAACACTCTTCATGACCCTGCTCAATCTGCCTATCGTGCGGGACACTCAACCGAAACAACGTTACTTCGAGTTCACCATGACATTGCAAGTGCGCTAGACAAAAACTGTTGTGCCGTTTTATTGATGCTCGACCTTTCTGCGGCGTTTGATGTGATTGACCATAACATTATCGAAGCTAGATTAGAATATGCTTTTGGAATCTCAGGTTCTGCTCTGAAATGGTTACTCTCTTACCTCCGAGATAGGACACAGCGTATAGCAGTAGGCTCGGCCCACTCCAACGAATTTCGTCTTAATTGCGGTGTGCCGCAGGGCTCCGTGCTTGGCCCAAAGCTATATACTATATTTTCGAAGCCGATCGGCGAAATCTGTAGACGTCACAACATGTCTTATCAATGCTACGCAGATCTATTTAGTTTTCGAACCTCTTGATAACTGGAAAAACACATTGAATCGAATTGAGGACTGTTTGGCCGATATAAGTTCCTGGATGTGTGTAAACATGCTTAAACTGAACGAGGACAAAACGGAACTGATGCTATTTGCTCCGAAAAACCGAGTGAAAGATTTGAAGGATTGCAATCTCACCTTTAAAGGAAACATCATTACAAGTTCTGAGTGTATTAAAAATCTGGGTGTTCATTTTGATAAGACTCTGTCAATGCACCAACAAGTCAGTTCAGTTTCGAGATCATGTTTTTATCAAATACGAAATATAGGCCGTATACGTCCGTACATCAACGAGGATGCATGTAAAACTCTGGTCAATTCGTTAATCATTTCTAGATTGGATTATGGCAACGCTTTACTCTATGGACTACCAGCTTACATGATTCAGAGACTACAAAGGGTTCAGAACACTGCTGCGCGAGTGGTTACAAGAAAAAAGAAATACGAAAACATTACTTCGACACTTGAGTCTCTTCACTGGCTGCCTGTGCAATACAGGGTGCAATACAAAATATTATTATATGTATTCAAGTCCGTGAAACATGAAGCGCCATTATATCTTAGTGAACTTGTAAATTTATACAGGCCATCAAGATCATTAAGGTCTGAAAACAACTTAACACTCGTAACTCCTATTGTGCGAACCAAAACCTACGGCAATAGAAGATTTGATCAAGCAGCGGCCATCTTTTGGAATGCATTACCAAAAAAACTTCAAAATGCAAAGTTGGTGCCTGTATTCAAAAAGAACTTAAAAACTCACTTTTTTCGACAAGCATTTTTAATCCCTTAAATTCGTTTCTGTGATACATTGTGCCATAGACGTTAGCCTGCTTTTGATTTATCGAACCTTTCTTTTAACTGGAGATATGTTTCATTTATAATATGTACATTGTATGTTTTTAGTAGCACACATATTTTTCATTTCAGTAATTATATTTTTACATGGTAATATTCCTTTTTCATCTTTTGAATACGTTTTCAAATTTTAACTTATATTTGATAATTTTTAATAGCAATCTTATTTTAGACTTTTTTGGCTATTTATTTTACCAACTTTATTCAGTATAATTTTATTTTGATTCATTGATATATATATTCCACTTTTTTGTAAAAATTTCCACATTATTAATCCTTTTATCTAGAAAAGTTTTAACACTTAAATATTTATTTTGTGTGTTCATGTTTTATATTTTTATCACTGTCTGTGTGTATATTTCGTTTAACATGTGATGTAAAGCGCTTTGAGTAATATTGTTTTAGATTTAGCGCTATAGAAAAATTGTAATAATAATAATAATAAATAATAATAAATAATAATAAATAAAGTATGTCCATCATCCAAGATGGCTGACAGCGGGGGACTTAGTTTAACATAGGACCCTATGGGAAATACATACAAATGTCTTCTTTTAGAGAACCACTGAATGGATTGAAACCAAACATGGCATGAATGTTCCTTATGAGGTGCTGACCAAGTGTTGTTACTTTGCATTATGTCCATCATCCAAGATGGCTGACAGCGGGGGACTTAGTTTAACATAGGACCCTATGGGAAATACATACAAATGTCTTCTTTTAGAAAACCACTAAATGGAATGGAACCAAACATGGCATGAATGTTCCTAATGAGGTGCTGACCAAGTGTTTTTACTTTGCAGCTAATCCATCATCCAAGATGGCCACTAGGGGGGGGGGGGGGGGGGCTTAGTTGAACATAGGACCCTATGGGAAATACATACAAATGTCTTCTTTTAGAGTACCACTGAATGGAATGAAACCAAACATGGCATGAATGTTCCTTATGAGGTGCTGACCATGTGTTGCTACTTTGTTGCTGATTTACTGTTCAAGATGGCCACCAGGATATTTTATTAAATAACGGGACCAATAATAATCCAAATTTGGCCTCAATCATTATTATTTGGGTATCTGTTATGATTTTTATCTATCTTTACATGATTTCTAAAACCAAAGTAGAGTCAGGTGAGCGACACAGGCTCTTGAGAGCCTCTAGTTTTTATGTTAATACGAATAATTTTGAATCCACATTTTACATATGAAATGGCACATGCAGCAAATTTTATCAGATTGGGGACAAAAGCCAAATTGGTAATAGTTCCAAAATTAGCAGCTATGCCTCAAATGAGGGAAAGTAAATTGAAATTAACTTGGTACATATTTTGTAGGATGAAAATGGAGCTTTTTTGATAGACAGAGATCCCACATACTTTGGACCTGTTTTAAATTATTTACGGCATGGAAAGTTGGTGATAAATAAAGACTTAGCAGAAGAAGGTTAGTTATTTAGTAAGGCTTTGAATGATGTTGTCCTGTTTACAAATTTTAAGTCGTAGTTTTTGAGCCAATCAATTCAATGTCATGACTCTGGATTTAAGTATGGGCAGAATTCAGAATTAAAGGCATATGAAAAAATCATTGATGTGACTTAAAAAGTCTCAGGGCACAAGAAAATGGGTGAAAAAGGGTCAAATGCCGAAATACAAGGTTATCTTTGATGACCCGGGGAACAATAGAAAAATTTTGGGTGAGCTCTTTAATTCCCAGGTGTCAGTTGAAAGGTATGGAAAATCTACTTACAGCCTTTGTAATTTGCACTTAAACAAAGAAAACGATGTTGATCAATTTCAATTGTAAATAAATACACTTATATGTAGTTCCTATGTAAATACAAATTAATAAAATATTACTTTTTATGATATGTTGAAAAACATCAGGTATTATTTTTAGATAGTTAACAAGAAAGCATGATAAGTTTATATATGCTATAGGAAGTATTTAAATACAATTCAGAACAAGTTGTGCATTTTTATACGCCTGTCAAATTTTTGACGGGACGTATTATGTTATACAAATGTCCGGTGTCCGTCCGTCCGTCTGTCTGTCCGTCTGTCCGTCTGTCTGTCCGTCTGTCCGTCTGTCTGTCCGGCGTAAACATGTCGCACGGTAACTTGAGAATGACTTATCCAAATTTCATGAAACTTAACATAGTTGTTTCTTATGATGGTCAAACGATCTGTATATTTTTTGGTGAAAATAAGATTAAAACTTTTTGAGTTACAGGACTTAGTATCTAAAACAGGTGTGTGTTTTTTTTCACATGTCGCGCCGTATCTCAAAAACAATTTATGATTATTGCTTAAAACTTTACACACAGTTTTAGTTATATTAATCTAAAGATCTGTATACTTTTTGGTGATGATTCAAAATTTTATTTTTGAGTTATTGAGTATTTTGTTAAAAAAGGGGGAGGGGTTTTTCACATGTTGCGCCGTATCTCAAAAACAGTTTATGATTATTGCTTAAAACTTTACACACTTCTTAGTTATATTAACCTTAAGATCTGTATACTTTTTGGTGATGATTCAAAATTTTATTTTTGAGTTATTGAGTATTTTGTAAAAAAAGGGGGAGGGGTTTTTCACATGTCGCGCCATATCTCAAAAATGATTTATGATTATTGCTTAAAATTTTACACACTTCTTAGTTATATTAATCTAAAGATCTGTATACTTTTTGGTTTTGATTCAAAATTTTTTTTTTGAGATATTGATTTTTTTTTTTTAAAAGGGGTGTTTTCACATGTTGCGCCGTATCTCAAAAACGATTTATGATTATTGCTTAAAATTTTACACACTTCTTAGTTATATTAATCTAAAGATCTGTATACTTTTTGGTTTTGATTCAAAATTTTATTTTAGAGATATTGAGTTTTTTGTAAAAAAAAAAAGGGGGTTTTCGCATGTCACGCCGTATGTCAGAAACTATTTATGCTTATTGCATAAAAATTCACACACAAGACGACGGGCGTATCATGCGCTCATGGCGCAGCTGTTTATTATCACTGGATTACCCACACTTTCAAATAAAGATTCTTTAAACAGAATATTTCCTGGTAATGGCCTTTTTGACATCTTACATGTCTTAGTCAGATGGACAAAATATAGTCAAAGGGACATGAAGTTATGTTTTTAAAAAAAAAAAAAAATGGCCAAAACTTTCTTTTTCACTGAATTGCCAATATGATCAAAACCATCTGATGACTCCTTATACATTTGTAGGAGTTATTGATTTAAATGACAGTTTTTGTCTCACATGCAACAAGTCGCAAAATGCGAGACCTCAGGATTAATATTAGGCAGCAGCATAAACTATTTGTATAAAGCTTTATATTTCAAAAGGTAGAAGACCTACCTCTATTGATTGAAATTCTACTTTGAATCTAATTTTGGTAGCAAATGTGACATTTTTATGCCTTGGTTTGCCATTTGTCATGGCAAATAATTGCAGAGTATTGCCATGGATATACAGAAAAGAAATTATATTTCGCAGATGAATCTATGGATAATGCTGATTGCATACATGTGTACATGTTTGACATTAACAGTAAAGCTGAAGTTGTTAAAAAACCTGGAATAGAGAATCATGGTTAAAAATTATGAGTGTCAATTTTTTTTTCATTCCCTAACCGTGGAGAGCTACATACTATTTTTGGCACACATTTTTCCTGTAAAAAATGCAGAGAATGGCTTCATACATGTATCTAGTCTGCAGCTTGTAACATGTAAGTGATTTTTATACGACGGCAAAAATTAAAAATTTTTTGGTCGTATATTGGAATCACGTTGTCGTCGTCGTCAGCGTCGTCCGAAGACAGATGTTTTCCGGATAATAACTTTAGTATAAGTATATAGAAATCAATATAATTTTAACACAAGGTTTATAACCACAAAAGGAAGGTTGGGATCGATTTTGGGGGTTATTGTCCCAAAGGTTTAGGAATGAGGGGCCAAAAAAGGGGCCCAACTAAGCATTTTTGCAGTTTCCAGACAATAACTTGTGTTTAAGTGTATGAATCTCTCTGAAATTATACCACAAGTTTCCATACAACAAAGGGATGGTTATGCGGGGTTATGTCTCAAACCATTTAGCAATTAGGGGCAAAAAAGGGGGAAAAACAAGGGTTTTTATGGTTAAAGGACAATTTAGACAATTTAAAAGCAGTGTAAGGGAGGTAATCCAATCCACTTAAAGACTACTGTTGTATATATGTTTGATTACCTCCCTTACACTGCTGGTAAATTATGTATTAAGAAATGATGATTGTCTTGAGATGATTAGCATGATTAGAGCTGTAAATTTATTTTTAGAAGTTACTATTAATTGATATTAATTTTAACCATGACTGTATGTCATTTTATATTTTAATATTTTATGATGTATTTAAATGAGTAGTTATGGTTGCAAACTCCATTAGAAATTTGAATTGAGATTTTTTTTGGAATAAGGGAAAGGGGGAGTTGAAAAAAAAAAAAAATTTGGGGGGAGGAGGGGGGGGAGGGTAAATAAGAATTTGTTTGGTGGCTACAATTTTTCTCATTTCAGATTTCAGAAATTAGAAAAAAAAAATTTCAAAATATTTTTTTTTTTTGGGGGGGGGGGGGGGGGGTTAATATTCAACAGCATAGTGTATTGCACAAAAGCAAAAAATTGAATATAAATTCAAATCATATAATCAATTTTAAGTTCTTTGACTACAGTTATTCTGTGTCAGAAACCTAGTATGTGTCAAATATTTAATTACAATCCAAATTCAGACCTGTATCAAGCGCGAATATTGTGTCCATTTTTGCCCCAACTGTTCAGGGTTGGACCTCTGCGGTCATATCCAGCTGCGCTCAGCGAAGCATTTTATTGGATCTGTCAGACATCTGATACCTGTTTTCCTAGATGGGTTATGCTTATCACAATAACCCATGCAACTCCTTGTTGGATGCCTTCCTGTTATTTTATCATTAAATGTGTGTATTTATCATTGCAAAATCATGGCAATTGACTATGCAATATTGAGTAAAGCAGTGCAATTCTTATACCTTTCAAAGCAGATTATTGATATTGCGATATTCAACATGTCAAATTTTTCACACAATTAAAAAACATCAAATTTATTTCAGAATTCACAAAATTTTCAAGAACAGAAGGTAAAAATTGGAAACCGATAATTTTAAGGTTGAAAAAGGGTTCTGAATGTTAATGAAAATTCGTTTTTGTATGTTTACAGTTAATTTAAGTAAGTGACAGTTTGAGTCTTTCTAGGTGTGCTGGAAGAAGCAGAATTCTACAATATAACAGAGCTGATAAAACTAGTCAAGGAAAGGTTAAAAGAGAGAGATGCAAAGCAAAACCAGGTAAATATGATGTCTTTGGGGATTTTTTGTGTGTTAGGTTATTGTCTCATTGACATATATGCCACATTTCCTTTTATTGATATGAGAAAACGGAAATGAACATGTATAATCCCAGTGCTCAAAACTGCTTTGATGATATTGTAGCAGCTTGGATGCCTCTGGTTTAGTAGAAAACTGTTTCAAGGTGGAAGCAGAATATATAAACTTGTGGTATTTGGTTCTGCTTCTTGAAGCAAAAACCCTTAAAATCTCAAGAAATATTATCAACATATCCTATCTGAATTATCAGGATACTAATTATATTATTATACCCCCGCTTTAAAAAAGTGTGTGTATACTGTTTTACCTCTGTCTGTCCTTCCGTCAGTCCATCCATCCATCCGTCAGTCCGTCTGTCCCATGAATATTTTCGTCACATTTTTCTCAGGAACTACTTGACAAGGATTTCTGAAATTTGATTTCAGGGTTTATATAAGTAAGTTACACCGTTTGATGCGTTTTCAGATTCATCACTCAACAACTTCCTATTTACCGAACACTTGTACTATTTTACACATGATAGCCAAGTTGAAAATTTTCGTCACATTTTTCTCAGGAACTACTTGACAAGGATTTCTGAAATTTGGTTTCAGGGTTTATATAAGTAAGTTACACTGTGTGATGCGTTTTCAGATACATCACTCTACAACTTCCTGTTTACCGAACACTTGTATTATTTTACACATGATAGCCAAGTTGAAAATTTTCGTCACATTTTTCTCAGGAACCACTTGACAAGGATTTCTGAAATTTAGTTTCAGGGTTTATATAAGTAAGTTACACCGTGTGATGAGTTTTCAGATTCATCATTCAACAACTTCCTGTTTACCGAACACTTGTATTATTTTACACATGATAGCCAAGTTGAAAATTTACGTCACATTTTTCTCAGGAACTACTTGACAAGGATTTCTGAAATTTGGTTTCAGGGTTTATATAAGTAAGTTACACCGTGTGATGCGTTTTCAGATTCATCACTCAACAACTTCCTGTTTACCGAAATATTTCGGCGGGGTATCATCAGTGAGCAGTAGCTCACAGTTTTACTTGTTAAGCATGTTAAGCACAACAGTGAACCAATGATTGGTAACTGTTAAAAAAAAAATGTAAAACAACAAAAATACCGAACTCCAAGGAAAATTCAAAACGGAAAATCCTTAACAATTGGCAAAATCAAAACCTCAAACACATCAAATGAATGGAAAACAACTGTCATATTCCTGACTTGGTACAGGCATTTCCTTATGTAGAAAATGGTGGATTAGACCTGGTTTTAAAGCTAGCTAAACCTCTCACTTGTATGACAGTCGCATTAAATTCCAATATATTGACAACAATGTGTGAACAAAACAAACAGACATAATAGGTAAAAATGTCAAAAATAGGGGTACAGCAGTCAACATTATGTTATAATCTCAATCAATATAAAAACAAACAAATATGTCAACAAAGAAAAGCAAAATGGCATATTGAAAAAGCACATACGCAAAAATGAAACAAAAGAATACAAAAAAATGACCATAGAATCCCTTAAGTGGATACCTTGGGTATGCAGGTTTGATACAATAAAATACAAAAAATGTAAATACCAATATAACAACACTTAGGGATTGCTGCAGTAATTTAGCTATTAAATTATTAAACCATTTGATATAAAAAAAAAAGGAGATGTGGTATGATTGCTAATGAGTCTATTACAAAATAAAATTTTTAGAGTTATTTTTAATATTAAAAGAATTAAAAGGAATTGTTATGCAAAGAACAACGTTCACTTTTGTTTAAATATGGCCTTGACTTTCACTTTTATATGCTGTTCAATTTCTTAAGTGAACAACAATCAATCAATCGTGTTCCTGGGAAAACTTCTATTTTATGGTTGGGTGGCTTGGACAAAGTTTTAAACCTTATAGTATGATGATTATGGGCGGGTGCCTAGGCGGGGGCAGCAGTGATTTTCCTGCCTTTATTTTTGGTCTGAATATCCGCCCCGTTCCCAATTAGAAAAAACTTAAATTTTTCTCAAATGAACACGGAAAATTCCCAATTCAATAAAGTTGTAGCTGAAAGGTAATTGATTATTTTATCGTCTGTATGATTTGGTTCAAAATATAGGTTGTCGTACTGTTCCTGAACAAAAATCGTCGATAGACAGATAATAATCATATTTCGGGAACCAGTTAAGCCAAATTCTGCATGGTTTATCTGAAAACTGGAAAAACGTGAATAACCATGATCTAAATTTTAAAAGGACACAACTTTAATTCTATGAAAGTTTGCTAGTATGGTCGATTTTTTTTCTTCAAATAATAGTATTAAAAGTATGATTACTATTAATTTCGATTAAAAAAACATAATGCATTTTTCTTAATTTCATTTTTGTCTCCATAAAATGCACGTAACTGTCTTTGTTAACTTTTTGATCTTAGGTTTATTCATAAATTTTGTAAACATGCCAAAGTGTGCAGGTGAAATGCTTTTTTCGCTGGTCAATACGTTATTTTCTTCTGTTAGTTGTGATGATAATATGAATAAAACAGGCAATCAAGCCAAGGAAGTGCATGAAATGGCATTAATTAAATACCATAGAAAGTATGGCAATCCACTTTCACTCGGGAATTCATGGGAATAGAAACGAATCTTTAATTATCTCCTTATTTTGATGACTATTAAAAGTTGTTAAATCAGTTGTAATAATTTGAATGTGAATTGTTCTACTAGTCTGCGTATCAAGTTTTGATTCTTCTCTTTGTTGTCATCATAAACAGTATTGGATAGTATTTTCCTGTTTAAGTATATACTTTTTACTTATGTTATAAACTGTAATGGCCCATTCATGTTCAAAATGGTCCATTAAAATTCATATGAGGGAGCCCTTGGCCTATAGAGACAAAATCTTTCCAGATCATTGCATACAGACTTAATGGAGATGATTAAAACAAAAAATAAATAGTTTTGTCTCTACATTTTATTAGCAAACCTGTAAATTCATCATGCAAAACATCTAGCTGGAAATGCCCCAGATCACATGATTTAGCTTCATTTATTTTAAAATTTCCAGGCAGGGGGGGGTATGCCATCAGACACCTATACCAATTATTTTTGCGCTTTTGCCTATTATCTTGAAAACTATAATTCATAGATAGAAATTTTAAATAGCAGGAAAGATCAACATGACAAGATCTACAAATATGTCAACATGGATGAAAATGTAAGTTGGCTGCTTATAGGAGTTATTGCCCTTTAATGATGATTTAAATCATTTTGTTTTGGGTTATGTCTATTATCTAGAAAACTGCTTTACAAAGATAAAAACTTAAAAGCAAAATGATTAGCAAGACAAGATCTTCAAATAGGACAGCATAGATGAAATTGTCAGTTGTCTTCTTATAGGATTTATTGCCCTTAAATGACAATTTTTTTTACCATTTTTGTGTTTTGGTCAAAAACTATAAAAGATAGAAAGAACCTGAAAACAGAAAAAATGGTCATCAATATCAGTTCAATAAACAGGAGATTTGAGTCATAGTTATATTCTAGTCTACAATTAATGTTGGAGGGTGACCATTATTGAGGATGCACATAGACCTAGGTAAGCGACACAGGCTCTTGAGAGCCTATAGTTTAAATGTCAGTATCTGAGTCCCATATAATTTTAACAGGCCTGTAATATAGTTGAATTTTTAAACAGCAAGAATGAATATCTAACATAACAGAATTTCTAATGTCAGATAGGACAAGGTTCTAGAAGTTGATACTATTTTTCTCCCAGTACAAATTTTGTGCCTTTTGTAGAATTTTACAAAAAGTGTATATAGAGTACTTCAATGTTCAGAAGAAGAATTAACACAGATTGTGTCTGCCATGTCAGATGGATGGAAATTTGAACAGGTAAGTAATCTTAACAATCTCCTATGGGTTGTCTTGATCTAGCTGTATGGTTTGGACTTACCATTTCATTGTTAATTTCCTTTCAGCTAATTTTGAAAACTCAGGGCTCACTCTACTGGGTGACTGGAAACAAAGAAAAAACTCTTTTATGCAAACAAATTGAAGTATTTTGTTTCGCTTCTGGCACTCATTACTGAAGCGTACATAACTAGATTCTGATTTGAACTAAAGTACAATGTTTACCCTAGGCTATTTAAAAGTAGTGGTCATGCTATGCATTAATTTTGACTGCCATTCTTTGGTCAACCCTAGGCCTGCTACATGAACAAAATCATCACTGTGAAATTTTATTATTTCTATTGAAAACGCGAAGTGACAAAAATCAACAACTGATCACAGGTGTTACTCGACTGATAATTGGCAATACATCAACACATTTACAACCTCGATTATAAATGTGTCAGTGTAAATTATAAATCAAGAGAGAGCTGTCAAGAATATGCATACACAGTTTCCACTTATCGACGTGCACAAATTTCCATGTTAATAATTGTTTTTGGACCTTTTCCACTGTAAATAAAAATTTCCCCCTGAGACAATAGTTTGTCATCATGATTTTTGTTGAAATGCTGATATTTAATTGTGGTAAAGCATTTCTTAAACGCATTAAGAGAAAGAAGATGTAGATACTCTTTCTGAATGGATTAAGGCTGTAAGGTCGTTGATACAAATCAGCAGGCCTGGGGCCATTACATTGCAAATTACTTTGTGATTCTTCCATCACAATTACATTTTTTCTCACATGTAATGCATTACATTACAATTACTTTGCCTGTGTAATGCATTACATTACACATTACTTTTTCAATATAAAAACTAAAAACATTTAAAAAACAGATTTTTATAAGAAATTGATAAATATTACCTGGGTATATGTACATATATATACAGTGTTAGTGACATAGACTTCAAATACATATAAAAAAAAAATTATCATATAATTTTGTTTCTAACATTGATCACTTAATCATTAAGACATCATAAAGGGATTTCAAAGGGATATAATAAATGTGCCATTAAAGGATTATCTTGTTAAATGCTTAAGGGCTCTGTGAGGACAAACATAAGTTGAGAAGATTTGATTGCAATAAAAACATTTGATATTAATTAGGTGAAATAACAACCACAGTTTGGTGTAAAAATGTTGATTGACATATTCAATCTTTCATTGAAATGCATGTAAGGTGTGTATAGAATTATGAAAATTTCATCTTCATATTTTTTCCATTCATCTATATAGTTTTGTTTAATAATTATTTTTTAGAAGATTTTTTAAGGGTGAACTATCTATAATGATTTAATACAGTAATTAACTGTGACAATAATTTTATTCAATACTTTCTTTTTTTTTGTTAATAATTTCTTTTTATTTTACTATATTCTTCAATTTTATGTATTTTACCAATTTGTAATGAAAAGTAATGTACAGTAATGGAGGCATTACATTGATTTTTGTCGAGCCTTCGACTTTTGTCGAAAAAGCGAGACATAGCGATCCTACATTCCGTTGGCGGCGGCGGCGGCGGCGGCGGCGGCGGCGGCGGCGGCGGCGTCCACAAATATTCACTCTGTGGTTAAAGTTTTTGAAATTTTAATAACTAAACTATCCTGGATTTCTACCAAACTTGGACAGAAGCTTGTTTATGATCATAAGATAATATTCAAAAGTAAATTTTGTAAAAAAAAAATTATGTTTTTTCCATATTTTACTTATAAATGGACTTAGTTTTTCTGCCAGGAAACATTACATTCACTCTGTGGTTTAAGTTTTTGAAATTTTAATAACTTTCTTAAACTATCCTGGATTTCTACCAAACTTGGAAAGAAGCTTGTTTATGATCATAAGATAGTATCCAGAAGTAAATTTTGTAAAAAAAAAATTTCATTTTTTCTGTATTTTACTTATAAATGGACTTAGTTTTTCTGCCAGGAAACATTACATTCACTCTGTGGTTAGAGTTTTTGAAATTTTAATAACTTTCTTAAACTATCCTAGATTTCTACCAAACTTGGACAGAAGCTTGTTTATGATCATAAGATAGTATCCAGAAGTAAATTTTGTAAAAAAAAAATTCCATTTTTTCTTTATTTTACTTATGAATGGACTTAGTTTTTCTGCCAGTTAACATTACATTCACTCTGTGGTTAACGTTTTTAAAATTTTAACAACTTTCCTAAACTATCCTGGATTTGTACCAAACTTGGACAGAAGCTTGTTTATGATTAAAAGCTAGTATCTAGAAGGAAATTTTGTTAAAATTTTGTTCCATTTTTTCCGTATTTTACTTATAAATGGACTTAGTTTTTCTTCCAGTTAACATTACATACAGTCTGCAGTTTAAGTTTTTAAAACATTTATTAGATTCATAAACTATCCTTGATTTTTACCAAACTTGGACAGAAGCTACTTACAATCAAAAAATAGTATAGAGAGGAATATTTTTATTAATTTTTTTCCTCATTTTTGTTGAGCCTGCGATTAACAGCAAAAGTAGGCGAGACACTGGGTTCCACGGAACCCTTACGAATTTTTAACTAAAGTAATCATTACATTACATGTAAATGTAATGCAGAAAATGTGCATTACAAATTACTTTGCATTACATAAAAAAAATGTAATATTACAATGCATTACAATTACAAATTACCATTACCCCAGGCCTGCAAATCAGAATTAAGAAACTGAATGGGTCTATGAATACTCATGCTATATCAATCTTTAAAGACCCAAATGTTGCAAAACACTTGTCCTACCTCCATGACAATTATGTTGTTGTCCCAGCAGATTAAGCCCCAAACAACATCGTTTTTTTGTGTAAATTACATTACATAAACTGCTTGATAAATGAATTAGGTATTGACAATTCACTTGGAAACTCAACATATACCCTCAAGACACTTACCAAAGAGGAAATCCTGGATAATCATAGGTCTGTTCTAGGTTCCTTTGGAATTTCAACCAAAGATGAAGAACTGGATCTTCCATCACTGTATTGGATACCTAAACTACATAAGTGTCCTTACAAACAACATTATACTGCTGGGTCTTCCAAGTGCTCCATGAAACCTCTTTCTAAATTATTAACATCAATTTTATCAGCAATCAAAGCTGGGCTTCAAAGTTATTGTGAAACTACATATTCTAGAGGTGGCGTGAATCAGATGTGGATACTAACAAATTCCAAAGATCTTTTAGAGTACATACAATCTAAGACTCTTTCATCTTGCAATAGTATTAAGACAATTGATTTTTTGTCGAGCCTGCGACTTCTGACGCAGAAAGCTCGACATAGGGATAGTGATCCAGCGGTGGCGTCAACTAACTTCTTTAAAAGCTTAATATTTCAAAAGGTAGAAGACCTGGATACTTCATACTTTGTATATAGATGCCTTATGTTATGAAGTTTCCGTCTGTCATATGTCCATTGTCCTTGACCTCATTTTCATGGTTCAGTGACTACTTGAAAAAAAAGTAAAGATTTTTTGTAATGTTAATTTCTCTCTTATTATGAGTAATAGGATAACTATATTTGGTATATGCGTACCTTGAAAGGTCCTTATACCTCGACCTCATTTCATTGATCAGTGAACAAGGTTAAGTTTTCGTGGTCAAGTCCATATCTCAGATACTATAAGCAATAGGTCTACTATATTAGGTATATGGAATGATTGTAAGGTGAACATGTCCAACTGGCAGGTGTCATCTGACCTTGACCTCATTTTCATGGTTCAGTGGTTAAAGTTAAGTTTTTATACGCCGCAAAAAATTTTTGCGGTCGTATATTGGTATGACGTTGGCGTCGTCGTCGTCGTTGTCGTCCGGCGTTGTTGTCTGAAGACACATTGGTTTTCGCACTCTAACTTTAGTTTAAGTGAATGGATCTCTTTGAAATTTTACCATAAGGTTCAATACCACAAAAGGAAGGTGGGGATTGATTTTGGGGGTTATGGTACCAACAGTTAAGGAATTAGGGGCCAAAAAGGGGCCAAAAATAAGCATTTTCTAGTTTCCAGACAATAACTGTGGAACGGTGTATGGATCTCTCTGAAATTATACTACAAGTTTCCATACCACAAAGGGATGGTTAGGATTTGCTTTGGGGGGTTATGGCTCAAACCGTTTAGGAATTAGGGGCAAAAAAGGGGGAAAAACAAGGTTGTCCTGGTTAATGGACAAATTTAAAGCAGTGTAAGGGAGATAAATCAAATACATCATTGAAATTATCTCCCTTACACTGCTTTTAAATTATGTATAAGGTAATGGTTAATGAACAATTAAAAGAATTTAAAACAGTGTAAGGGAGGTAATCCAAATACAACGTTTTGGTTACTTCCCTTACACTGCTTTTAAATTATGTTTAAAGAAATGCATATTTATAAAGGAAGACCAGTAAAAATATCTGCAAATGTTGCATCTTTTTTTTTTACAAAAAAATCCATATGAAAGATTTGACACTATATTTTAAATTCTATTATAAAATAGATTAAGTTAGCACTATGGTAAATTTAAATGGGTAATTATGGTTGCAAACTCTATTGGAAATTTGAATTGAGATTATGACCATATCTTGAGGGAAAGAATTTTTTGGGGGAAAAAAGGGGGGGGGGGGGGGGGGTGTAAAAAGGAATTGTGGGTGGTCAATTTTTTCTCATTTCAGATTTCAGAAATTAAAAAGAATTATTCTTCAAATATTATTTTTTTTTCAAATTTCAAATATTGAAAAATTTCAAGAAGTAATCTTTAATTGTACAGTATGGCGCATTAGATTTGTAAAATCTTTGACCACATTTATTTATTTGTTATGCCGAATCTAACCGTGTATTTAGATTTTTAATTTTGGGTCCAGTTTCAAATTGGTCTACATTAAGGTCCAAAGGGTCCAAAATTAAACTTTGTTTGATTTTAACAAAAATTGAATGTATGGGGTTTTTTTATATGC